GAACATTTTATTTTAGTTTTCCTTTTTTTTTTTTTTTGCTCTAAAGTAAAGGTTGTTAAAATGATTTGTACTTGGAGAGGCGTAAAATCGCTGACTTGCATGTTTGCAACTGAAGTCTAAATCCAGCATCTTCGCTGCTTATGAAAATGTTCTCAGTTTAGCCAAAATCATGTTTGGTACTGATATTAATGCGCATGTTGCATTATAAATAACACGTTCCAAGAACAGATACGTAGGTGAGATTTGTTCGTTTAGAGCTGTAGGTTCTATTTATTAAATCTTTACTAATTTATTTATTTCAAAGATATAAAGAAAATCTAATTATATTTCTTTTACATTAAATATTTGATTACTTTCCATGACATATTTCTGATTTCAATAACTGCCACTAATTTCTTGGCCTGTACAGTAAGTTTAACATCCTTTCAAAAGTTCCGTCCTCTTTACACCAATTGGTTGACCGTAAAAATAGCAAGCAGCATTCAGCCTCCAAGATGTGGGGAAATTGCACGTTTTTCAAATATTGTATTAATGTTGGTTTGTCATTAATATCTATTGTTTTATGCCCTCTGTAGTGTTTACATTTTATTGTATGTGGGGATTTTTATTGGTGGCTGAATGTATTTAAACATGCCATTAACACTGACATGTCAGGACGTCATCCGAAGGGGAAAATGGTGTAAACGTAGTTTCTCTCTCCCTCTTTCTTGCTCTGGAACAAATGTTTGTAAGGATTTGCTCGCTGCTACTGAGAGTTACAGCAGGAATGGACATAAGCACAATGGGTTGAAGGAAGTGTAGGACAATTGCTTTGCTCTCATTTGAGGTGAAATGTTGAATTAAATGTATTTTTTTTATTGTTTTTTTAACATGAGAAGAACCCATGTAAAATAGTTTCAGGTTATTCACAATGATAAGTTAGTCTGAGCAAAAGAAAAACCCTGATGTTGAAGAATTCGGTGGTATTAGCGTTACATATTGGGTTTTATCACATTTGGAAATTTTTTTGTAAAAAGTTTATTTTTGCTAATTGTAACCCAGATATTGGAATGCAAAAACACCATCTGTATTCAAAGAAACACTACACATTGTGTCCCTCACCGCATCTGTGTTACTGAGATAAAAAAAATTTGGCTCATGTAACATTGTAGATACCTGTTTAATATGTCTTTGTCTTCATTTTACTGTCAGTGTTGGTCTTGTTTGTTGGTATTACCTTTTTTCTGTAGACTTGAGGGAAGCAAGAATATGTAGCAAACTGACATGCATGAAAGCAAGCAGCACACTTCAACTGACATACTCTTTTCTCATGCAATGTTACGTATTTGACATTATTTTCCGCTGAACAATTATAACCTGCTTCTTTGATATTACAACCAACTCCACAATATCCATGTTGTCATTCACATAACTAAAAATAAAAATATGCTCTTCTAAATGTGCCACTTGTGTATTTTTCTTAAGAGGTTGTGGGTTTTTCTCTGAAACTGATTCAAACAGTATTTAGCTTTTTGATTGACAGCACTTCCATCCTTCCAAGGACCTCATTTTTTGGCTAATAATCACCTTCTCGCTCATGTCACACTGCGAAAGACCTCACAGAGCCCTGTTCTCTTCTGAAAGCAGGTGTTTACAGCAGTAATGGAAGTTGAGGTCTCTTGAGTTGATGGCTATCTGCTGTCACTGGGCCGTGGGTTCTGTGGACTCGCACCCTCCCTGAACAACACAGCTCTCCACAGGTCAGCTGCTCTCTTTAAAGAGGCCCACTCGCCCATGAAATAATGTCTTTTGGTTCTATTGTTCTGTATGTCTGTTGGTTTTGCAGGCCCATTCACTCAATTTCCCCTGAATAGAGGGGCGCAAGGCCCCACTGACATGCCTTCTGCTGCTGACGGCCATTACAAGCCTATAACACATGTGCTCTTATATGTTTCTTTCAAATTTGGAGAACACTTTGCTATTGTATTTTTCAGATGGTCAATGCAGGCTTGAGAGATGTCAAAGGCCCATTGGGGATAAATTGGTTGGCTGGTTTGGGCTTTTGTACAGTGCACTGAGTGCTTGATGGCTACTGAAGCCATTTTGGCTCAACGCAAAACAAACACCTGTTGTATTCTTTGACAGTGATGTGTAAATTTAGAAAAAACTTTAATCTTTAGGTTGAAATCCAAGCCTTGACCTTGACTGATGTGATTATTCTCTACAAGTAGAAAAATAATTACTCCGCATTTACTGGTCGGCTTATAAAATTACTGTAATAGTTATGTGTGCTATTTGTGATGGCTTTATGTATTTTGGATGTTTCAAAGAGGAGACAAAAGCAACAAGAAGTTCTGAAAAAGAACTGGGAACATATTATGGATTAATTTTATTTATTTATTAATTTATATATACACACCGCGTGCATAATTATTAGGCACGTTGATATTCTGATCATTTTTTTTTTCCAAGCACATTTTACCAATTCCAAACCACATCAATCTTAATAACTACTATTAATTTTGTATTTAATCATTTATAATTGATATATAATTGTCCATGAAGGCTGGAAGTGAAAAGACCCTTTATATTCAGGTGTGCAGAATTATTAGGCATGTTTTGTTTTACAGATAAAATTAGCCAAAAAAGAGGTTTAACTCAGACTGAAAAGTCAAAAATTATTAAATCCCCATGAGAAATATTCAAAACTAATGCAATACAGAAATTGCAAAGTTAAGACATGACCACTGGACAGAAAAATGCTCACTGGGTCAGCGGGGTCAGAATATGAATAGTCAATGTGAATTTTCAGTCTTTATTAATGAGTATACAATACATATATAAATAAATAATGACAAGAAAAACAAAAGTGTTCCGATTTACAAGTAAACAACTCTTATGAACTGGTTATTTTTAGTGAATCAATAATACAGCTCGGTCAATCCCGTTTGAATCATGAACAAATAACTCATTTGAGTCGGTTCTTTTAATGAATCACTCAAAAAGCCCGGCAAACTTACGAGTTCGCGCTTGGCGAATCCTTCACTGAATTAATTCACTGAATCTGTCAGTTTACTGAATCAGCAGCTGACTCACTGGCTGTTTTGCCATTTTGCAATTTTTGTGTACTTAAAGGGATAGTTCACCCAAAAGTGAAAATTCTAACATTTTATTCACCCTCATGTTGTTCCAAAACTGTTGTCTGACTTCTGAATAATGTTGGTCACCAAACCGATTTGGTTATCCATTGTATGGACAAAAGAATAAAGACATTTCATCAAATATCTTTTATGTTCCACAGAGGAAAGAAAATCATACAGGTTTGAAACCACATGAGGGTGAGTAATGAAAAAAATTTGGGCAAACTAGGTCCATCAAACGTAAATTAGTATCCTTACCAGTGTTGGGGAAAGTAACTTTTAAAAGTAATGCATTACAATATTGCGTTACTAACTAATTAAGTTACTTAGTTACTTTTTACTGAAAGTAATGCGATGCGTTACTTTTGCGTTACTTTTTAAATCTGGGCTGGGCTTGCTTGTTTGCTTTTAATATAAAAAGTTCTATTTTTGGCAAATATAAAAGCCCTTTCACACCAAAAGCCTCAGGCTGAAGAAAATGTAAATTCACGTCTGTACAGTATACACAGAAGAAGAAAGTTCACTCTTCAGCAATAAAAAAAAGAAGAAGAAGAAATGTAATTTTTGCTTATTAGTATGGTTGAATTAGATCACTGAAGGTCAGCAGCAAATTGGTAAATAAAATGGGATTAAATACATAAAGGATATATTTGTATTATTTAACATATTTAATTATTGCAGCTTTGAGTCATATTCTGAGTTGCATTTAACTGTTTTTATTAATTTTGAGGAAAACTAAATCTGATTTTTTTTTGAGTGAGTGAGATGAATTAATGCATGTTCACATTTATTCTAGAACTAAAGTAACATCTTACTCCTGATTTCTCTCAACAAGGGGACAGAAGAGCTTTCAATAAATGGGGAAAAAAAAGTAACTTGCGTTACTTATTTGAAAAAGTAACTCAGATATTTTCTTGTAAATGAAAAAGTAATGCGTTACTTTACTAGTTACTTGAAAAAAGTAATCTGATTACGTAACTCGCGTTACTTGTAATGCGTTACCCCCAACACTGATCCTTACTGACAGATATGACAAAGTATTTTATGAAAAACTGTATGCACACCACTCTGAATGAATATTGGTCACTCTTTTTCCTAAATTTCCTAAAATTTTCCTAAAATTTAAATGTAATAATTATCTTATATAATCTCAGGAGTGGGACTAGCACCATGCACACTTTGCATGTATATGTGTGTGTGTGTGTGTGTGTGTTTGTTTAGAGGTGTCCCAGTGCAGCATGTCATACAGAGCCATCCCGTGAAGCCCCTCCCTTGGGTCTGTGTGCACATTGCCTGCCATTGTGTGCAGTAGACAGCAGATGGTAGGCTATCGCAGCAGTGACAGACCCAGTCATCTGGCAGGCACTCACAGTTCAGGCGGGAAACCCAGGCGTGGTGCTCCACTGCCAATTAAGGTCAGTCTTTCCACTGGTTATGACTGGCTGACTGCTGAGAGTTTGGACACTGAGCTGGCCAGGCACATAGCTATACGGTAGAAGCTTGAGCTATAAATAAGCTCATTTAGATGGGTGATTTTTGAGTTTCAGGAGCAAAAGGGGCCCTGCCACCAAACTCAAACAGAGGCCTATAGTGTGCTGCGCTTCATATAAAGTGTAAGTATGAATGATTCTGCTGCACACACAGTTTAGTATGGAAGCCCGTTTCTGTCACAAAATAAAAAGATAAAAAAGGTTATTGTGACTTTTTATTTTACAATTCTGACTTTATTTTTAACAATTCCCACGTTATATATCTCATAATTTTGAGTTAACGTTGAAATGTATTCTTTCTCAGAATTGCGAGTTTATGACACATTTCTTGCAATACAAAATTTATAATTCACCATTTTGAGTTTTATCTCATAGTTCTGTTTTTTTTTCTCAGAATTTATACCTGACAATTCTGACTTTTTTCTTTAAATGCTGATGTAACATCTCATAATTGTGACTTTTTCTCAGAATTGCAAGTTTCTTCAAGTTCAGATTTTTTTCTCAGAATTTTCTCACAGTTCTGTCTTTTGTCAGAATTGCAAGTCAATATCTCACAATTCTGTTTTTTTTTTTCACTAAATTCTGAGTTTACATCTTGCAAATGCAATTTTGTCTTTTTTCTTGGAATTCTTGAGTTTTGATCTCTTCTGTGGACAAAAGGATCTGTCTATATTACAGCATGCATATTTCCTTCAAGAAGTGGTTTGGTACATTAAATTTCATATTAGTGCACAAAATCACATTATGTTCACAAAATGCATTTTGTGATTCTTAAAAAAAAAAGTAAGAATTGCAAGATACAAACAAACAAGATATAAACAATACTGAGAATTCAGAATTACAAGATAACTCAAAATTATGAGATATAACAACACAATTGTGAGAAATAAAGTCAGAATTGTGTTATAAACTCACAATTTATGTCAGAATTGTGAGATGTTATCTCAAAACTGTGAGATATAAACTTGGAATTGTGAGATAAAAAGTCACAATTACCTTTTTTTTTGTTTTTTTTATTCTGGGGCAGAGACCCTGCACTGCTAATGAAATTTTTTGTGTTGCAATTTTGAAGGTTCTGAAGTGCAGTAGCACATCAATATGACATCAACAGTCACTGCATCAGTGGATTAGGGTTAATAAGGTTCTGTAAGAGCCCTGCATAAGGGTCCAGGAGAAAGCTGAAGTCATTGTGACCAGTAAGCCAAGCGTAGCAGCTGGCCAAGGCATCTTATTAAGCTAAAAAGTGAGAGAAGTCAGTTACTGGGGCTGATTCAAAGGAAACAGTATAGCAAAAAGTTAATCTTATAATATATGGTGTGCATGATGAGCACTTCATTTCAAACTAAAGTACAGGGATTGGATTTGGCGGCTGTTCTAGAAAAGCAGCCAGACTGGTCCATGATGAGATAATTATTGTTGTTACATTAAAATGTTAGTGGTTGACAAGTTTGACATGTTCATTGATCAGATTATTCTGTGCCACTGAACAGCAACAAGGGAAGAATTTTTTTTTTTTAGTTCTTAAATTTTACTTACAGCAATAATTTTTTTTATTTTAGCCAATATATAAAATCACACAAAAATATACAAATTAATCAGTGCATAGAAATAGGAGTATATTAGAATAATGTTATTGAAGCTATTATATATTTTTAAAAAACTGTAAAAAATTGTTGTAGTTGAGCAAAGATTATTGGAGTGCATTTTACAAGAAATTTTGCTGTCTAAAGTTTTGATGACTTCGATTTAAAACCTAAATTTATATTATCTTCCTGCTTTTCAGAAAAAAAGATATTTAGAATTTAGTTTTTTTTTTAATTATAGTGTTTGGAAAATAGAACTGACATAAATATATTAACTATAATAAATATTAAAATGTTATTAATATTAACAAATTAAAAATACATATTTTGAAAAGTATTTCTGTTACTGATAGCTGTACAATATTATTTATCATGACCAAGACCAGGAGACGTCAAGTGCAATTATAACACTATTTATGCAATGAAAATATCTGCCTGAATTGAAAGACTAAATCCTTAAATATTTAATGAACATTAATGCAGTATTATTTAAATATTTAGTTCAAGACTATTTAGTGTTTGGCTTATTTAAAAAAATTATAATGTACCCCTTAGACTTTGTTTTAAAAATGTATATTATGACATTACTACAATCTGACAGTATTAAGGCAAATATTATTGAGCAATGAACTGACTATTTTGAGGTGTGCATTTATTAGTGTGGTAAAGTATTTTTTTCTTGTAGTGTTACAGTTGCCCCAACTACTGTTACAACTTGTAACATTATGACTACTTAAATATTAAATATTATGATTAATTCTGTCTAAATGCAAAATAAATATAGCGCGGTTACCTTTGGCACATATATACATGCTCCTTATACCAAAAGATGACATGTAGTCTTTGAATTCTGAAGGAAAATACGTGCCTCCAGTCTCCCCTAATATAGTATCACGGGGTTGATAATTAGTTAAGAATACGCATACCCAATCTAAAACAGCTACTGTACTACTTCTCCTTTGCCTTCTGTAAAGGAAGAGTCATTCATTCAGCCTCAAAAGCCCCATTGGTGGCCCCCTGGCAGTGGCTATTCCTTCGGTGCTTGGACAAGATCCTCTAGAGCAAGTTGGGAGAGCTGTGTGCCTGGGCCTCACGCCTGAGCGCCAGGAAAGCGCCCTCCTCCATATCGTCCCCCACAGGGGACTTGTAGCCTGCCTCTGCTGGGGAACACAATGAGGAAACAACAAGCACAAAGGCCCTGTTTATTCTCAATGACCCAGATTCCAGCGCTTTGACGATGGGAGACAAGTGACAGGCTGTTCAGCATTGGTCCGGGACCATCACCAATCAAAGGACCACAGCGAGGTTTAATCTGCCACACCCTGACTGCTCAAAACAGGGTCTCCACAAGCCCAGAGAGCCCAGAGAGTCACCACATAGGAATTCACACTGGTGAAAAGTGTGAAATTGCACTGGCAGTGTTGTTTTTTTGGTTGAGAAATGGCATGAAAAGGCTTTCTATTGAATTAAGAACTGTATATAAACATGTTTCCTGCTCAATTTATACACTACCGTTTAAAAGTATGGAATAATTAAGATTTTTAAATGTTTTTGAAAAAAGTCTCTTATAAAGCTGCATTTATTTGATTAAAAATATAGTAAAAACAGTAACTTACAGTAAAACATTCTTACATTTAAAAGAACTGTTTTCTATTATAATATATTTTATGTTTTTATGTTTTAATACTTTTTAAGATAAAAAAAAAAAATTGTATTCCTGTAAGGCAAAGCTGGCTTAATTTATACATTTACAAATAAATGCTGTTCTTTTCAATTTCTATTTATTAAAGAATCCAGAAAAAATTTATAATTTATAATATTTATTTTCATTGTAATATTTAGCAGCACAACTGTTTGTAATATTGATAACAGAGGAAATATTATTAATAATTCAGCTCCAATAATTGATAATAATTGTGCATCAATTCAGCAATCATTTTTGTATGACACTGAGATATGGCTGCAGAAAATACAGCTTTGCCATCAGAATGCTTTTCATTGTAAAATAAATTAAAATAGAAAACAGGTCTTTTAAATGGTAATAATATTTCATGATACTATTTTTAAACTGCATTTTCATCAAATAAATGCAGCCTTGGTGTGAATAAGACACTTTTTTCAACAAAACATTAAAAAAAAACTTTATTCCAAACTTTTGACTGGCAGTATATAAAATTCATACAAGCCATTAGGGAGGGTTCATTGTGTAAGAATTGATCCGGCCTGGTGTTCTATCTGTGTGCATTGTTAGCTAATGAGCAATGAGCCACCTGTTTAGGGAGTGTGATGCTGTGAGGGGGAGCAGCTGCCCGTGTGTGTCGTTGGGGGTTGACGGGCATAAAGATCTGTAATTTGCAGACTCATTATGTATGATGACAAACTCACCCCATGCCCTCCCCCAGGATCACTATAGTCCCAGCCTGGTTTGAACTAAGTCGTCGTAAGCCTCAGCCATGAACTCATCCTTCTAGAAAAATAAACAAAAGCTAAATCACAAAGACAATCAGATTATTTTCGTGCTGTCCTAAAATGTGCGGTACAAATGTGCCAAAGAAGGAATATAGTGTATAAAATGTTGATTTTGTGTAACTGTCTGAGCTTATATATAACCCTGGACCACAAAACCACGGGTATATTTAAAATGATAGATTTTTCTTTTATGCCAAAAATCATTAGGATATTAAGTAAAGATCATGTTCCATGAAGATATTTTGTAAATGTCCTACCGTAAATATATCAAAACAGATTTTTGATTAGTAATATGCATGGCTAAGAACTTCATTTGGACTTCAACTTTAAAGGGGATTTTCTCAATATTTTGATTTTTTTTTTTTTTTGCACCCTCAGATTTCTCAGCAAATATTGTCCTAACAAACCATACATCAATGGAAAGCTAAGCTTATATATTCAGCTTTCAGATGATGTATAAATAAAAAATTGACCCTTATGACCAGTGTTGGGGGTAACGCATTACAAGTAACGCGAAAAATAAATATGAATACCCTCATCTCACCCACAAAAAAAAAAAAACACAGATTCAGTATTCCTCAAAATGGATACAAATAATGCAACTCAGAATATGACAAACCTGCAATAATGAAATGTTAAACAACACAAATATGCTTTATGTATTTAATCCAATTCTATTAACCAATGTCTTTGCTTCTGACCTTCGATGATCCAGTTCAACCATAATAATAAGCAAAAATTACTCTAGACAAACATTTGTGTGTCTTTTTTTATTGCTGAAGTGTGTTGAAATTTCTTCTTCTGCATTCTACTGTATGGACGTAAATGTACTTTTTCCCTTACTTTCACTTTTGGTGTGAAAAGGCTTTTATATTTGCCAAAAATAGAACTTTTTTATTTTAAAAACAAACAAGCAAGCCCTGTCCAGATTTTAAAAGTAACGCAAAAGTAACGTAACGCATTACTTTCCATAAAAAGTAACTAACATAATTAGTTACTTTTTTATGGAGTAACGCAATATTGTAATGCATTACTTTTAAAAGTAACTTTCCCCAACACTGCTTATGGTTTTGTGTTCCAGTGTCACATGTTTGCCATGACTCGACTCGCGCGCGTACCACCTATGACGTCACCCTCACCGAGTCTCAGCTCGTCGCTGTGTTACCACCATCTAGTGGACAGATTATGAATTACATATGTGATAGCTCAGAAATAAATGAATATTCAATTGTAAAGATTAATTTGTAATTAAAAAAAAAATTCAAACTGTCCATATAAATATGTGACTAAATAAATGAGCTCTTGCATTCAGCATGTTTGTGAGATACACTATATTTTGAGTAGAGTACTAAATAGATATTCAATATATAACATCAACTGGTGGTTTTGAGCCCATTACAACATTTGTATCTTAATCTCACATGGTGTATTAGTAAACACCCTGCATTCTCAGCACAACACTGCTAATTGATTTTGGCATAAAGTGTGCCCTATATTTCTGTCCATTGGTGTGGGGTGTTTGTATTGTGATTGTTTGATTAATGATGCTTAACAAACCTGACAGCAGTCAACAGATGGGCATTTCCCCTCCCAAAGCCCCCAGCTGATCTGAGATGGTGTCGGTGGTCAAACACCATCCATCAACTCAAGAACTGGTTATTAATTTGTTTAGAAAGAGCCACCAACTCTGCAGACGCATCAATATTTTGAACATATGGTGTCTTGCTTCTCACTCAGTGAGTGGGTGAGAGTATTTAAGCCAGTCATTTAATTCACGTTAAATTACTACATCATTATAGTAACACACTTGACTAATCTATCAAGAATGACAAATCCAAACAAATGTTTAGAGCAGGGGTGCCCAAACTCAGTCCTGGAGGGCCGGTGTCCTGCAGAGTTTAGCTCCAACTTCCCTCAACACACCTGACTGGAAGTTTCTATGCTTAGTAAGAGCGTGATTAGCTGGTTCAGGTGTGTTTAATTAGGGTTGGAGCTAAACTCTGCAGGACAACGGCCCTCCAGGACCGAGTTTGGACAGCCCTGGTTTAGGGGGATTTTCAGATAACATGGCCAAATCATGCATGGTTATATGCAACGTCGCTCTAGTACATTTATTAGTACGTTTTTTTTAGTACATTAACTAGATCAATTAAACATACATTTAAATGTATTACATAAATGTACCTCTAGATGGCCATGTACAACTAGCATTGTTCAATATCAACTGTCTGAAATTAATTCCATTTATTCTGCATAGAACAAACAATGTAAAACTGGCTAGAAATGAACAAATGCAATAAATAAGAGATCAAAAGCATCATATAAATATATATATAATTATTTGTTTTGCACTTTTTTATGTTAACATGAAGTACATCTATTTTATTTCTTAAAATAATCAAATAAAAAAAAAATGAAATGATTTATACATAAAGGTAGCTAATGTTAGATGATAGTATATCAGGTAGTAATTTAAGATTTCATTTATTTTTATTTTATATTGTATTCAAGCAAAATTATTCTTACTATTGTATTACAGCTCATATTATGTAGAGTATGTTTTTAATTTTTGTTTTTGAGTAAAATATGACAATCTATCTAAAATATAACCAAGAACAGACGACATAAGAGATGATTTGAATTTATTGTGAAATCACTAATATGAATAACACGTGGCAATATTAAATCAAACATTCATGTAGAAAGAGTCCCAATTATTTTCAGTCCAGCACTGCATCCATGTTATTTATAAACACTGCAAGTCTGAACACCACTGTGCAACCACATATTGTATAGAACCAAACCAGCACCAAAAGCACTGAAAGTTATGGCTGTATGAGACACATGGCAGGTCAACATCATGTATACAATATATATATACTTTTACAATATATATAAGAAGCCCACACTGCTGTAGATTTTATCGCTTTCCTTGCTTCATTTGAGGTTTCCGTCCTTTGCCTTTGGGACCCTTTCCACCAGCCTTTCCTTTACCAGACATCTTTCCCCTCCGTCCCTTCTTTCCAAAGTCTTTCTTATTCTTGTGCCTGGATTCCATGTCCTCTTCCCTCATTTGCTTATTCACAGCTTTGGTGACGTCAAGTCGTGGCTTCTTACTGTCCATCACTTTCAGTAAATCCAGCTGTTTTTGTTTCTCACTACTAAAGTCACCAATAAGAGGCTGGAACTTTCTCTTTTTCCCAGTATTTTTAGGCGTCTTCTCCTTGGGCAGGTTATCCTGGAATTTACCAACAGAGGCCGTGGAGATCTTGGCGACATTGACGGCTTGTGCCAGCTCTGCTTTGGACTGCCGAGGGGTGGGTGCGAGGCCCATGCCTGGCACCTTGATCTTCTGAGCTCTGGCGATGTTCTTGAGTCTGTTGTACTCATTCCTGGCCACTCGCTCTTTCTTGGCTTTATTCCTTTTATTAAACTGGTGCTCACTGGGATCTGCATTCTCTGGGACCTCTATCAACCATTCCTTGGTGTCATCTTTGGCACGTTTGTATCCCCATCGCCTCCTCCATTCCTTATGGACTTCATCCCAGACCAAGTTGGTCTTCTTTTTCTTCTGAATGCCTTTCAGCTTGGCAAACTGTTCCCATTTTGTAGGAGGCTTTGGTTTTGGAGCAGGCTTTTCCCTGGGTAATAGAGTGGTTGGATCTGGTAGCTTGGCGACGAGGACTTCTTCAACTCTTTCTGTTGGAAGTTTCCATATCTCGTTGACGAGGAGTTGAGTGTTATCTCTCGCCAATGAGCGGAGAAAGTCTTCCCGTTTGCAGTCTTTAAATTCCCGAGTATCAATCCGATTCTTATCAAACGCAAGCAAATTACCCGGGTCAAATTCAAGGTCTAACTCTTTGCTTACTGTAATACCTTTTAGCTTTTCAGCCTCGTCTCTTTCGGCTTTAGCGAGCACGTCTTCAAAGCTGCACGAAGCCATTTTGGTTCTAATGACACAACGTGGTTTCCCCACATGTGCTGCTGAAAGCGGAAGTTCTTTATTTCAAAATAAAAGACCTGCCAACTTACTTAGAAAAGGAAAAAAAGACGAAAATATTTAAGCAAATAAAAATGCAATATGTTTTTATGCATAATGTCTTAGAAAAACAATAATATCTAATATAATAGTGTCTATGTATTATTATGACAAGATAAAATAGGCTAATAAAACTTCGGAGGTAGGAAGGAGTACCGATACAGTTGCGGGACGTCCCATCGGCTCTGTGGCGCAATGGATAGCGCATTGGACTTCTAGATTAATAAATGAGGTAATTCAAAGGTTGTGGGTTCGAGTCCCACCAGAGTCGAAGCTTTTGTTTTCAGAAACTATACAAATGGCCATATGCCAGAAGTTACCTTGAGTGTTCGGAGATACGATTCAACCAAACACGGTTCAGTGATTCACTCCGA